AAAAAAACACAAGAGAAGAAAATGAAGACTTAAAAATTTTGCCCATTATAGAATGGCTAGCCAAGAACCACTGCACATAAAACCCATTATCAAGCAAGATGGAGGTCCAACAAAAATCCAACTGCTGCAAGATCCTTTATCCCTGTCCTTTTAATTAACCCCAAACAGCATCTGAATAAAAAAAAAAGGGTCAACGGTCATATCATGCTCGATACCAATACAAGATCCTCCGAAATCAAGTATTTTTGAGATATATGAACAGGAAGCAAATCTCCTTAAAAGTTGAGACAGAGATCCAAACCAATGGAAGTCTTCAAAACCAAGAGATCCAAACACGAGACAAATGCCTGCATATAAGATTATGACCCCAACTAGCAAGTGATGTCCATAATCGCTCGACGCTAGCAAGTGACCACTAGAATCTTTCAACAACCACAAAAAACATACTTATCTCAAGTTTTAAGCAGACAATAGGTCAATGTAAGACAGACAAATACCTCCCTCCAAAGCTCCATCCACACAGATATGAGATATCAATCAGATGGCTAAATTGCTAATAGTTCCTAAGAGTAGCCTCTGTCCCAATAATCAAGAGCAATAAGGGCAAAAACAAATCAAGAGCAACATTCTGCATGAAAATCTTAAAATAGGAAATTTCAAAACCTAAAAAACAAGAAATGAAAAATTGTAATCAAAACAATTTAAAAAACATAAACAAGAACAAGAAAAACTTATCAGATGATTTAACCCATCTCGGCACATAAGGGGATGACTTAACCCAACTCTGCACATAGAGACTAACAAAATCTTGTCATTATAATTTCTGCATTACAAAATCCCTAAAAGAAAAGAACACAGCCAAATGAAGAATCATATATTAATATGAACAACAGATCTAATCAAAAGCCTGAAAAATTTACAAACTACCATTGCAAGGTCAAATAATAACATGGCATACTTCCCACAAAACAATTGCCATTCAAAATTCCAAGTTGACCTGAAAATACAGCATCCAGGATTCACACCAAATCCATTTTATATTCCTACTTTAAATAAATTCTAATCCAACTCCAAAAGCTACAAAGAACAAAGTCTTCTACTTTTTGAGGGAAAAAAGTGAAAGAAGAAAAACCGCTGATAGTGAAGATACTGCAAAAAACGAAAAAAGAACACAAGGTAAGAAAATGAATAATTAAAAATTATCTTCATTTAGAATGGCCAGCCAAAGAATCACTGCACATAAAAGCCATTATTATCAAGCAAACTGATATTAGGAGAAGATTCAGATAAAGAAGATGAAGCTCAAACAAAAATTTCACCTGTTTGGAGTCCTCAAGCAATGGCCACATCTTCCACACATTTATCCTGTGCAATACGATTAAAATATAACCAAAATAAAGAAAAAAATTGCAAGTAAAATTTCTAACAAGCTTCATGTCTGCTGCCTATACTTTTATAAACCATCTA